CGTATGCAACCAAGTATGTACAATTTAATCATTTCTAGATTATACCACCCATAAAATCATTATTTTTTCGCCAAGACGGATTTCAAAAACGGTATGAGGAGGTAGTGCAGTGGTTAGCTCACTGTACCATGACCCCTGGAATCCTGAGTTCGATTCTTTGACCACGGCTAACGTCAGCGGCGACTGATCACTTCCGAGCAGTGTGGTGAAGTATGGTCGAACAGTCCGCGTGACCAAGGTGCCTGGGGGACGCCTTTCCCCAGCAGTGGATGTGAATGAGTAATTATTGTATTATTATGTGTACAGCAACATTATGTTCTGGCCAGGGTTGCTGAGTTTCAGGACGGCTTAGGAATCTCAAGAAATTGTGTAAGATAAGAATTGCCATAAGTCACATTCCACAATGGGATTGAGACAACGAGGAGATGTAACGGCACACGAAGATGTGCAGCGTTGCGTATACAAACGCTTCGCTAGACCACCAATTCAAAAGAACAGTGGGGCCATTTTCGTCGTTCAGGCCACCAACTGAAAGAGTCGAGACCACGTGGCTATCCCGACAGACGACTGTGGCCTGGTCGAGTCCTCGTTAGGACTCACGGACTCGCACGGCGATCAGTGTCCGATGCTGCTCCCAGAGGAATATTGCGAACATTGAAGACTCATGGCCCGTTAATGTGTTTTTTAATGACATCACAAGGATCTTTCCAAGTCCACTGCGACGCAGACGGCGCGTGATATTCATGGTTTAATACACCCGCAGTGTTAACCAGGGTTGCCACCGGGGCTCGAACAGCAAACCTTTGCAAAAATCAACATCTCGTTGTATTTGTGTTGTTGCAGGGTGTCCCGGGAGAGATGTGATCGCGCTCGTTATGTTACTGGATGATTGGAGTGCGATGCACGTGCTTCAGAGTATACTGCTTCGGTGTGGGGGCGACACAGGCTACCGGCGTGACGTCACACAGTAGCTCTGTGTCGTCATTCCCCGGGACCTATCCCTGCGATGCGAACGCCTGCCGACTGACTGTGGATAAATGATCGTGAAAGATGTTGGAAATTAGTCAATTACATCTCAACGTATTGCAAATGTATATAATAAAAAAAATGTAAGGATAAGAAACGCTGTTGTTAAGTATGCTTTCCCCGCATAAACCTCGGCTATGAATTTCCCTGGAGAGAAATGTTAACCAATGACATGTTCCACGACTTAGCACGGCTCAGAGCACCTTAGCACGGCTGGGTGAAGGTAAATCGAGTCGAGCAGCACGAGACCTCGGCTAAAGCGTAACGGTCACTTTGCCAAATTGTATGTCACGGGGCAATTTGTGTATTACCTTGGGGGCGGGGGGGGGGGGTTCAACACAAACCCAGACCGATTCCACCAACCTCCCACACTCACACACGTGCTCACCCGACACGAACGCGGGGGCCACATCGGGGCATGCGCTAAAGACAAATGTCCCCCGTAAAGGCTCAACAGACTGTCGGGGCAGGTGCTGTTAGCGCGTGGCACCTATGAAGGCCGGCACGGCACACTAGAGGCGTGGCTGGCCAGCACCACGCCCGTCCGCCTCTGTCTCGTGCCCAGCATGTTCGAGGACACGCGCTGACAGAATACAGCGTCGCATATCCACACTCACCGATTAACCGCCCACAACCGACCGGCGCATGCAACAGCTGCACTGTTGTGTCCATGTCCCCATATCCCACCATTTCGCAGCATGTGCATCTGTACCTTGATCCCCATTTGTCCATTCCGTCTTCACCTTGCAAGCCAAGGATTTGTTACCACCTCGACAACTCTCCCCTTGTAATTTGAAATGAACACTTACTTGACGAGTGTATATATTATAAGTAATTGCGTGAATGTAAAAAAAAAGCACACCGCAACAACTTTGAACAAATACAAATTGTTGCCGTAATGTGGAACATTGTGTCAGTCTACTGTTGGATGAATGTCTCCCCATGCTACGTCGGTCATGGGGTGGTCCAGTTCACGTTGGTCAAGAGGACACACCAGGACAGGGTTGGAAATTGTGGTGGGGGGCGGGGCCAATCCCACCATGTATCTCCCCCCCCCCAAAAAAAAAACTTGGGGCCCAGGGCAGTCGCCCCGATTCGCCGTACCCTAGGGACGGCTCTGGCCACTGGTGGTGTTAGCCGTGACTGGGAATTATTTATTTTCGCTCAATTCACGGGGTGTGTGTGTGTGGTTATATGAGTGCAGTGTGCGAATCGCTGCACCACCGCTCCTCTCCCGAGCAACCGCACTACATTAGGCATCTATAATTTCCAGCGTCCAAGCGAGTTGATGACAACAGGTCTCCAACATCGCAAATGAAATATCATCATCGCATTTGCACATTTTGGCGAACGTCTCATGTAAACAAATCCGCAAATTAATAATGCACACTCCAATTGGCAGGCCGACCTGCTAACTTGTTAATGATTATGAACAAAAACATTGTTATTGCTCTATTTGCATTGCAAAATAACAAACGAGCATAAACTAACGCGGAATACGACCGCTCTAGCGAATGCCAATTATCAGCGACCATGCCAATCGCGGCTGTGTGGCCCCATTAGTCGCTCGCACCCATCGCGCGCAAGTGGCGAACAATCGGCCGCGCTGTGGATGGCGGCGGCCGCCCTCTCTGCGTCTTGAGCCAGGCCGAGCTCGGCTGAGACATCGCGGGCGCAGCACAAATACAAAGTGGGGTGAGCACCCTAACTCACCCCCCCCCCCCGCTGCACGCGCCTTGGCACGGCCCCCTCCCTCTGCGGCGGCGCGCACTCGGAGCGGACTCGACCATTCTGCAAAATCGGGCGGGCGGGGGGGGGTGCGAATGTTTTGTTCGCGTGACGCCTGCGCACGTCATGGAAACTTTCATGCCGGTATAAAACTATAAGAACAGCACGTGTTAATATGTTAGCGCAGCAAACAGAAACATGTTGGTTGTTTTAACATCGCAACACCTCTTGTATTGCCAGAGAGGGTAAAAGCTATTGTTATACATCCGTATGTGGTTGTGCGGACGTTAGCGGGAGACATTTGGTATGGCGCCTGCTTTATTAATTGATTCTTCCCCCGGTATAGTGATATAATGATTGACATAATAATACATTGTGTTATTATTATTATTATGAAGTGTGCTATATATTGCAAGGCATTGGCACGCAATGGTTAGCGCACGGGACTTGCAATCCTCAGCTGAACGGTCCGATTCGATCTCCTGCGGCGCAGTTTACACGATGAACACGTTTCATAAAACTCCCAGCAGCCTCCCTGCGACTCGTGCAGAGGCACGTGGCGTGTGGTGGGGTCAAGTGCGGGCACTTACACCTCTCGCAGAGATGGCTGGCCGGCGTGGAAGAGTCGGCCAAACATCCCCTGTCAGGTCGAGAGGGACTCCATAGCGCTGGTCCTAGCCAGGGCTCTCTTGCCCGTAGTGGCATCAGGTCACAAATGCAAGCGCGGAACCTTAACCAGTAACTCTCAATAATCTATCTATGTTGAACTTCTTTTGCGCCGTACGTAGCCAACCGTGTTAATCGGAGGTGTCCTGTGTAGACAATGCACATCTGCCATTAGGGATGCGGAGCGCCCATCGCCTGGACCAGAGCTCAACGATTGAGCAGAGACACGCTCATTGCCCCATGCTGCATTGGTCGCAAAGTAGCGGCGCGACAGATATAACAAGGTTAACACCGCGCGCGCTGATCGGATCGTTATTTCATGCTGTTTTTGTTTCGCAATTGTGCTTCGTTCGTGCTGGGAGGGGGGTTGTTGTTGTTGTTTTGTTTTTATTCTGTAAATCAGAAAATATATTGCCAACATAAAATGTTAAATGTCAGTAAACCAAAAAAGAAAGTAGTTTCACGTTAACAGCAAGTTTCCGCAATATTGTTCCACGGACAGCGGTACACACAGAGAGCGATGCTTTCGTATCAAAGCCAGGGGCATTTCCACACTGCACGATGCAACGCCAGTGACGGATGACATCGGAGCCTCCAAGCATTGCGCATCATTCCCCTGGTGAACTCGGTCCGAATTGGGCACCGCGCTTGCATTTTGTGAGCGTCAGCAGCACTTGGGAAGACAACGACGCGCTGACTCCAACACCACCACCACCCCCCTCGGCCTTAATAGGAACTCGCAAAGAAGCGCGCGTCTGAGCAATATGCACAACTTAATAACGGGGGTGGTATCTAGACTGTGCGCATTTAGACACGAAGACAAAGTTTCCCTCGTGTACCCGACACGGACTGTTGGTGCCACGTCTATGAAGAGCCGACATGGCCAGCAACGGAGTGAGTGAGTGGTGTGGTCGGATCCATCGTGCCCTTTGTCTCTCCATATACTGATGTTTAAAAATACAAAGATCCCCCGTGTAGCCTTAACAGACTGTAGGGGCAAGTGCTGTTAGCCAGCACCTATGAACGGTACACGCGGGGATGGGTGGCCAGCACCACGCCCGATCGCCTTTGTCTCCCCAATGGCCATGTTTTCACACCGCACCAGGTACTAATTTGAGGCTGAGTCGAACTATGGGAGACCCAGGACCGGTTCAGATATATTCGTCACTTGGTGTTGGCCGTGAGCGGGAATCGATCTCGGGTCACAGCGAAGCGTAGCGCGCTAACCGCCACCCCACCGCTCCCCAGCAGTACTGCTGTTGACACACCCACACACACCCCACGAGATACACATTTAAGGCTGAGTCGCCCTAGGGCCGGCCCGGCATGACAGGTTCAGATAATCACCGCTGATGATGGCCTGGAGTCTAACGGCGCATTGCGATAACCACTGCATCACCGCTCCCCACATGTAGACACATCATGTACGGTATATTTCTACACGACTATACGTGTGGCACATACAATGGAGTCGATCGGCAGGCCGCGTGTACTGAGTTGAGTGTGGGTGCTCTCCACCGCTTCCAAGACGTCCGGCCCGCAGAGAAGAGTAGGCCAAAGATACCCACCCTCTAGAAGATTTCCCTAGAGCTCACTGCAGTGGTGGCATCTTCAGGCAGCGGTGGCGTCAGCGGGCACTTGCAGGGCTGTACCTTTACCACGACCCAGTGTGCGCGCGTCATTAACGTCACGCACTCCAAATCGCCTTTGCGTTGCTGTATCCGTGTGCACATTTAAATGGCTAAGGGGGACAATATTTACTGCGTCTCACACTGATAAGCCCTCTACTTAGGCGGCCCGTGGTCATTAAAAGCGTTAAATAAGAGAGCCATTACGGGGCTCCATATTGGAGCGCATTGCGCAGAGGGCCTTGTTAGGGCACGCGTAATTGCAGGGACAGGATTGAGTGGTGCGACTGATATCCACGGGACAGAGAGGCGGGCGGCAATGCGCGCAGGGCCTCTTGCGAGGCCCGAGGATAATAAGTAGCCTCAATTCTCTGGCCCGCTGTGAGGCGTCGCTATCCCTGAATGCTAAACTCGGAGCTGTTTTCCGTTGTATTCTTTTTTCTCCATCTCCCGTCTCTGTCTCTCGCTCTATTTCTGCTCAGGCAGCGAGCGTAGACAAAGACGATTTTAGTTTTTTTTTATATACACACGTTCTAACGCCTCATAAGAAATAACAGTGCATGGAGGCTGGAGTAAAAAAATGCAGCCACAATGTTAGCCCGTTTTTTTTAGTTCATGCACGAGTATTCTCCACAACGACGCTGATGACTAATTCCGTGCCTTTGCCTCTGCATATTTGGTAGCCGGGCAGTGGCTGGGGCATCACCAGCACTGAGGCGGGGGTTGGTGGGTCACGTAAACGTTGCGAATCTCCCCTCGCGTGGCCGTCCTGGAGCCCATTCCCAGCCTCCACTTGGAGGCTGTGAGCACAACTCCTGCTTGCAGGTTGGTTCAACCCATCATGCTCTAGGGTGGGGTCGATAAATTTAGCACAGCTTTGCGGGAGTCAACAGTGCTTGGCCTATGGATATAGTCCCTGCCACGGGAATGTGGAATTTACACGGCTTCCTTGAGGCCACATTGCGTGGATTTTTTTTTCTGCAATGAAAAAGCCTTTGTGGATAGAACGTCCGTCCAGCTACATTTCATCACAGGGCTGCTACCACCCCCTTATCCGATTGCCTTAAAAGAGAAAACGGGGAAAAAAACTATAATTTCATCAACTTTGAGGTGTTTGTTCTTATATAGAGGAGTTACACATTTTATTGCAGCACAGAACTTTTGGCCCTGGATATAGCTTGCACAGCCCAAAAGTCTTCCTGTGATTACATTCAAGGCAACGGCATAAGCACGGCGCTTGTTTGTTTAAGCTTTCTGAATTAATTCTTTGAAGAAGGCAATCTCGGCCTCTCTGTAACACACACTGTGCGAATTGTCTCATCTCGCCACGTGTCTGTCGATCCGAAACTCGCCAACCAATGCACCAGGGGCAGAGATACGACGCAGTACTTCTTAGTACTGCAGCAACTACTCTCACGGAGAAGCGGAAGTTTTTACGGAGGTTTCTGAAAATAACAACAATATATAACTTTTTTAAAGCTAATTATTTGGGGATGCCACTGCCGCTGTTACTAAACTATTTGTTTTATTTAAAAGGTAAGGCCCACTGATTTATGTCGACATTTATTTTAGAAGCGACGTGGCCACAAATTATATTTCAATCAAGTGGCTTATCATCATGTGGACATTTATAGCAGCAACCAAATACTCTAAACGCGTGATGTTGATTCTTTAGAATCAGCATCACGCGTGTGGATGGAAAAACCGGAGGACCCGGAGGAACATCTACGCGACCACGGAGAGAGAGAGACACGCAAACTCCAAGTATACAGCAGGCGTCAGGGTCGGGATCGAACCCACGACATCCTGTGAACCAGGCGACGTTATTAATATCTTCCTACCGTGTTGTTGCCGCGTTGGCAATGATGCACAACCAACAACAACAACAACTCACTCGTCAACAACAACAACAACAACTCACTCGTCAACAACAACAACAACAACACTGTGGCCATAAAATAAAAACGTAATCGGCGACGTTTCGAGCAATGGCTCTTCCTCACGCAGCCCGTAGAACTACAGCCCTGCAACAGCTTGCTCACGCCACTGCTGGCGGAAGGCCTCTGAGTATTTCTGAATGAATTGTCCACCCTGACCGGACGTCTTGAGAGAGGTGGAAGGTACCCACACTTCACCCCACCACGCCGACCTGCCCATCGACCAACTGTGCTGCATCCACGTGTTGCCCTGCCGCGGGTGGACAGAGGCAGTGGGCAGCGATTCTACGAAACGTTGCCCCAGGGTTTTAACTGGCGCGCTGGGAGATCGAAACGGCGGCACATCCCTCTCGATTGTAACAAGAAAAAACAATCTACATCGTGAGAGACATCGACTTCAAATAACCGCCCCCCCCCCCTCAAAGCTCAATGCATAGGGATCATTGTTATTGGTGATAATTGAGCGAGTTGTAGTAATTTCTAAATGTATAATGTCTACAGCAGGGCCAATCTCTCGACAAGAAAACAACCACTCGCGACCACTACCATCCAGAATAGACATGTTTAGGGGTTTGATCGCATACATATAAACAATGCCAGACTGTCCGACCTTCAGAATCAGAATATGTCTTCTGCAGGTAAATGCGATGCGCTATTCAGCTCTTTTTCGCCAGACGCCCAGGAGCGCAAAGTATACGAATAGTAAACCAAAAACTCATTTAAAAATATACACATCGAAACTCAACTTTTTCGTTTGTATCTTTCCAGGTAAAGTCCACAGAGGCATGAACTTTTATGTTCAGAAGCGACCTAGCCACGATCGCGTGCTGCCACAGGGGTCCTGGCCATCGCGGAGTTGGCATGAGCTGCACGGAACGGAATCGGGGCCCCAGTGTCCAATTACTCCTCCGAGTCGCACCTCTGCGCCCGAGGCGCTCCGTGCAGCTGTACCGCAGCCCGCACTCGACACGCTACGCGCGTGGGTCCTGTGTGAGTGCCTGGGTCTCCTTTGCATGCGACTCCTCCTCCCCCCCCCCCCCGCCACTTTATATCCTAGGTTATTCTGGCCGGTGGCTTCCCGACGCAGTTGCGCCGCCTGGGCGCTCAATAGCTCGGCCCATCCTTCTAAACAGGCAGCCGTTACCAGCTCAGCAATGCCCGGCTCTAAGGGGCCGTCCATAAATGACGTCACGCGATTTTTGACGATTTTTGAACCCCCCCCCCCCCTTCGTCACACGGCGTCACAAAAAGTCATACCCCCCCCCCCTCAAATATGACGTCACAAAGCTCTGCCCCCCCCCCCCCAAAAAAAACTAAAACATGCTTCAAATCGCTTTAAACTATTGTCATTGTAGTGCGTATTTAATGTGGCGCTGCACTCTGATGTTATAGGAGAAAACATTTATTAAAAAGTCTATTTAATTAAGCAGAACGTTTTGATTTAAAGCTTTCGTGACTGCAGGGATTCATATTCTTGGTTCTTTCGGTAAAGTCACCACGTAGAAGGGAGACAATAAAATAATATTTTTTATATTTTTATTATTTTATTATTTCCCTTCTACGTGACTTTTTCGAAAGAACCAAGAATATAAGTAGAACGTGTTGTCTATATTTATTTAAAGTTGAGCATTTTGATGTGACGTCACATTTCTCAACCCCCCCCCCTCCCCCGTCACACATGTCTGCGCCCCCCCTCCCTTTAGGTGCGTGACGTCATTTATGGACGGCCCCTAAGTCCAGCGGAGATGCCGCACACCGCGAGGGAGGAGACGTGTGGTGGACTGCGGTTCGAAGATGGTGGCGGTATCGACTGTGTTGTCATGGTCGACGTCGTTCTACGCACCCACGCGCTACAGCCACCGTGGGAGTTGTTGAGTTCGTGGCGGCCTGCTGCCTGCAACCGCGGTTTATGAGATGCCCTCTGGGATATGGCGAGGAGCGGCAGTCATAGTTAATTTATAGTTTCATAGTTTCATTTATTAGGTATAGCCCTGTGAGCCATTCGGCTCTTGAATCGCGTGCAACCGCAACAAACAAAAAAACATGAACAAGAGAAACATGAACAGTCGCGCCCCTGCGTGCCAATGAACGCCCACGCGTCCGCTCCCCGTTGCTTTCATTACGCGGAACCACGCCAGTAGCCACGTCTCTGCTACCCAATGCATCGTGCCAGCAAACATTTGTATATATGGATAACGAAAATTTTGACTGAATATAAATTAAGTTGTCTCATCATGCGTTTTGATTGGAAGGGTTTGCCGCATCTCCGATTAGCGCGGTCGGTTACGTATGGTGTGAAAGAAGTTCAACCTGCGTACATCGTTCGGTACTCAAGAGCTGCTTAATATTTTTTTTATTAGATTCTCATCAGGCTCCATTGCGTTAAGTGCTGACTCCAAGCGCCGTTCACTCTGTCCCTCTGGCCTCTGTTCATGCGCTATGAACGAGAGACCCTGATACAAAAACGTTGCCAAATATATATTTATTTTATTCTGCTACACATCATTTTAAGGTCACAGTGTTGTTGATGAGTGCGTTGAGCTTTTTGTTACCCAGGGTTTGTGCCCAGGTTGGATTAATACAATAATAAATATTAGTTTGGTGTGAGCTAAACCTAGCATGCGTTAAACCTTTTCTTGATTTTTTTTAAGTTTCCACGAATTGCATCCCGATTGTGCTCTTGCTGTCATGACGAATTCCATCCCAGAATCCTCCCAGAGCCGTGCAACCTGTCCTGTTCAGAGAGGCTCGCGACCGGCTCAGATAACCTGCACCCGTGTTGGCCCTGAGCGGGAATCGAACTCGGGCCTCGGCGTTCATCGTACGGCACGACAACCGTTACGCCGCCACTCCGTGTACAACACGCGCTGCAATAAGGCGCAAGTCAGAATCCGCTGTCCTGTGGCCTCTTGGAAGCCAAACTCAAACCCCGTGCTTCGGGCTTGCCACTCAGGAGAAGGTTAACAGTTATATTGGATTCCACGGGATTTCTTCCGCCCGTGGTTGACGAAATGTCAGTGGCCTGCGCAGAGATTGAGAGAAGGCTCGCTTGCCCTTAAACGAGCATCCCTCTATTTTTTTTTGGGGGGGAGGGATTTTTGTTTTCGTTTTAAACTGAACCCTCTACTGCAGTGGTACCCATTATTGTTTTAGCTGAAGGCTCCGTGATGGAAAACAGGGCAGGCTGCCCTTTATCAAATCTGATTGGAAATCTCGTGGCCAGGAATCGCTAGGGTGCTTGCTTGCTTGCTGCTGTTGTTTCTGTTGCTGATGTGAGGCTGCAAGGCGCCCAAGAGATGGCGGTGCTGCGTACCACCACTCACAATCAGAATATTGATTTATACTGGAGGAATCGGATGAGCTATTAAGCTCTTTTTCACGTGGTGGGGTTTTCCTCCGAGGTGTCTCCGATTTATTTCAATCGTTGAATATCCCAGCTCCTAATGCGTGTGTAAATAATAAATACTCGTCTTTTTCCCGTCCAAGGACGGGTGTATTGCAGTAAATCTGAACCTTGCAAGCGAAAAGCAGACCGTGACGTGATATTCATTGCATCAATTCGTGTGCAGTTTGTAAGGCCGCGGTAACGCAGACTTATTTCATTTACAGGTTATTACCCCTTGTTCATCATGACGTCCTTTTTACTTTGATGTCTCAACAGCGTTACGGAGATCACGTGACGTGAGGGCTCTGCCTGTGTCGTGAAGGTTGTAGGTTGACGCCGAGGGCGGGGGAGGAGGCGCCCCCCCCCCATGTGGAGTGACGTCACTCGCCAATTATCAATGGCGGGGGGGGGGGGGGTGTTCATTTCGAAGATGTCACCTCTTCATGATTATTAATGAGGGGGGCTGTTCGATGTGGAGTGACGTCACCTGCTCATGATTATTAATGAGGGAGATGTCCATGTGGAGGACTAACCTCTTCATGATTATTAATGAGGGGGGCTGGCCGACGTGGAGAGACGTCACGCGCGGGACACACGGAAATTCTTGGCTCATCACGGTAGTCAATGTTACCAAACCTGCGGCTTACCGAACCGAACAAAAACCGCTAAGATGCAAATTGAACCAATACGACATTAATTGTTTTTTTTTTTAAATCAGCTTTACTTTTTCCCCCATCACTGAATCGAATGAAAAACTAACGGCTTTTGTTTTTTAAACGATACTTATAATTGGTGCTCTCATTTCTCTTTAACGGCCCACGCGTGGCATTTCCATATACGCGATAAATTTGAAGCGAGCATGACGACACATCTCCCGATGGTTTGATTTTACTTCAGTGATCTAGTTGGGACTTTAATGAGGCGGCACGGAAGATGTGGGAGGGCGATGGCGATCGCCTAGAAATGTTCGCAGAGGCAATTAACGGGGCCTACAAGGGAAACACGAGAAAATAAGTTCTGAAAAGTGTGGATCTTCTGAAGTTTGGCCGGCTCGTTTAGAGAGGCAGCGGTGGCTGCATTATCTTTTTTTTTCATTCACCATCGCCGCTCGAGAACACGGGACGGGAAGCTAAACAGGCTGGCTAATGAGAGACGAGACCACGCTCGCCAAAAACCGCTCTCACATCTGGCCGACAGTCCTCGCCTCCCCACGGCTGTCTTTTAGATAACGAGACGCCAATGACGTGGCACGACAGCGCTGTTCGCGTGTTTATGTTTTGTTTTGCCGGGGGAGGAGGGGGTGGGTTTCTGGGTGGCAGGGTTAAGAGTTGGGCGCGTTGTATGTTTTGCTTCATCGCACGCTCGCTCGCTCGCTCGCTCTCAAAGGTTAAATTTCTAGAGATAAACGCGATGCCCTTTTGGGCTCCATCATAAATTAGCATGATCTCGATTTATTGTATCGTCTGGAAGCCACGCCAAGCGCGATCCCGCCGCTCGGTCGAGAGTCTTTCCTCGTCGCCGCTTGACAAAAGACGACATGAAAATGAACGCGGATGCAAATCCCTTATCCCTTATCCGCGGCTTTACCCGTGGCCCCTTTTAACGTCGCTCGTTTTACGCGGTGATTTACCCCTTCGCGTTTAATGTCCAAACGGTTAGCACCGCTCGGGCTGCTGCTGCTGCTGCTGATGTCGCCTCGTGGTCGATTGGCGATCGTAGCGGGGGTGGGGTGGGGGGGTTGATCCAGAATTGGCCCTTGGTGTGCTTCTTAGACAATCCCCCCCCCTTCCCCACTCCTCGGCGTTCGAGAGAAGCGGCACTCTCTCCTGTCGACGACGAGTCCGCACGTCGCGTAGCTCGGTCCATTGCGTGGGTTGGTCGACCCAACGTTGCAATCTACCTACGGTGAAGTGTCGCGTGCCTGCCCTGCTCGATGAATCACCAACTCGCACCCAGTGTTTGCGTGCGTGGTGTTGACCGTGATTTTCTGTAGACGGTCGCGCGTCTGACCTGCTCACATATCCGCCGATAATTAACTCCCCAGCGATACGCGCCACTGCCCTGGCACGTTCTGTGTTTAGTTACTTGGGACCCGTTAAAACTGGGGTACGCCCCGACAACCATGTATCCCGAAGGCGGGAAACCCCTCCACTGCAAGCCACGAGCCTTGAAAAGGATGCACATTATCGGATGAACGAATTTCCCAGACGCTCCCACTGTTGACTTGCACGTGCCAAGCGATGCAGCCCCCACTCACCAGCTGGTATTCATTCGTTCATTTTGCTCACCCCGGGGAGAAAATTCATGTCTCCCCCTCACTCCGTGTCTGTCTTGGGGGGGCGGGGGGGGGTCCTTTGACCATCCCTCACCACACAGGTGGGTGGGTCAGTGGGGGAGGAGCTATTCAGATATCACTCGCCACTCACGTCAGAACAACTGGGTATTAAATGCACTGGCGAGCATGGCGTGTCACCGTGTAGCAACAGCACCAGCAATACCAACAGCACCAGCAACACCAGCAGCACCAGCAACACCAACAGCACCAGCAACACCAGCAGCACCAGCAACACCAGCAGCACCAGCAACACCAGCACCAACACCAGCAGCACCAGCAGCACCAGCAGCACCAGCAGCACCAGCAACACCAGCAGCACCAGCAACACCAGCAGCACCAGCAACACCAGCAGTACCAGCAGCACCAGCAACACCAACAGCACCAGCAGCACCAGCAACACCAGCAGCACCACCAACACCAGCAGCAGCAGCAACACCAGCAGCAGCACCACCAACACCAGCAGCACCAGCAACACCACCAACACCAGCAGCACCAGCAGCACCAGCAGCACCAGCAACAGCAGCGGCACCAGCAACACCAGCAACACCAGCAGCACCACCAGCAGCACCACCAACACCAGCAGCAGCAGCACCACCAGCAGCACCACCAACACCAGCAGCACCACCAACACCAGCACCAGCAGCACCACCAGCAGCACCAGCAGCACCACCAACAGCAGCAACACCACCAACACCAGCAACACCAGCAGCACCAGCAACACCAGCAGCACCAGCAACACCACCAACACCAGCACCACCAGCAGCACCAGCAGCACCACCAACACCACCAACACCAGCAGCACCAGCAGCACCACCAACACCACCAACACCAGCAACACCAACACCACCAACACCAGCAGCACCACCAACACCAGCAACACCAGCAGCACCAGCAACACCACCAACACCAGCACCACCAGCAGCACCAGCAGCACCAGCAGCACGTGAGATGACGGCTCACCTCGGCCTCACTGAGCCCTACAAACAAACGAGCACGGCACCGCGGCGTACCAAAGAGGGCTCAGCGCGCACGCCATGATGAGAGAGGCGCCACGTCGCACGGCGCGCAGAAGCCCGGTTCGCTTTTGAGCGACAACAAAAGAAGAGAAATGGGAAAAATCTCGTGGGCTCGCGAGCGTTTGGAGGAAGACGATGACGGGACATCGTGGCGGGCCTCCCGCCTCGCCGTGTGATCGTCCGCGCGTTGTCAATCACCGTGCCCGCGGAGAGAGGAGGCCCCTGCCACCGCAACCCCGTGGCAGGGGCCTCGTTTCAATGACCCACTGGCTGCGAAGTTCCGCCCGAGTTGGTATTGTTCTGTTGAAAGCCGCCCTCCCTTAAAAGGGCTGACTTCCAATTGAAAAGTTGTTCATCTTTGCTCCGGAACTTTTCGCCGGCACCACGTTAGAGGGCAAATGCAGGCAGCCCCCCCCTCCAGGAAAACTTTCCCGAGTATTAAATTACCAAAAAGGGCTCTGATGTGAAACTAGATTTCGTAATTTAAAGGCGAGGCTGGTGGTAGGCACGTGGGAGACATGGGCCAAGTAGCGTGCGAGGGAGTGTGTGTTTTGTGTGCCTCAAATATTGGAAGAAGTCACCCCCTGTGAGTGGCTGGCTGAGGTGCCATCTACTGAGGAAGTATTGAAGGCGATCCGGAGTCTGAGACCAGGAAAGGCAGCGGGCAGAGATGATCTCCCAAGCGAAATGCTGAGGGAGGGTGGCGTTTGTGCACAGACTGCCCTATATGACATCATAACAACAGTCTGGACCACTGGACGGGTTCCGCAGGATTGGAAGGATGCCCTGGTGGTCCCCTTTTTTAAGAAGGGGGACCGCACAGACTGTAACAACTACAGGGGCATCTCACTCCTCAGTGTGCCGGGAAAGGTCCTGGCAAAAATTATTCAGCATCGCCTTGCCAGGCACGCTGAGGAGAGGCTTGTGGAGCCCCAATGCGGTTTCAGGAAAGGGCGGTCCTGCACAGATGCCATATTTTCTGTCCGTCTGCTACAGCAGAGGTGTAGGGAATTCCAACAAGACCTACATCTCTGCTTTATTGACCTGGTCAAGGCCTATGATACCATCAGTAGGCCTGGGCTCTGGGTCGTTCTTCGTGCTTTTGGAGTACCTGACCCTCTGCTCACGATCATTAAGGACCTTCATGATGGTGAGCGGGCCCGGGTAAAACTACGTGGCCGGGAGTCAGAGCCATTCCCTGTACACCTTGGGGTGCGACAGGGATGTCCTCTGGCTCCCACATTATTTAACATCTATTTTGACCACGTAGTTCGTGAAGCCTTCAATAGCTGTACCGGGGGAATCTCCATTTGGTACAGATATAATGGGAGGCTAATCGATGCCCGGGTGCGGTCAAGGGATGGCTCCCTATTGCTCAACCACGTTATGTATGCTGATGATTTGGTAATAGCTGCTCAGTCAGAGGAGGAGTTGGAGACGCTGCTGCTGAGACTGGAGCGTGCCACTAAGAGGTGGGGCCTTACCATCAGCCCCACCAAAACTAAGCACCTGCCTGGGTATTTTGTACCATCGGACACTCCACCCCCACAACTCCCAATCGGTGATGGGGCAGTTGTGGAGAGAGTGAAGAGTTTCCCATACCTGGGCAGTGTGCTTATGACTGGCTCCAGTTTAACAGCAGAGGTCTCACTCCGAATCAGTCGAGCGGCAATATCTTTTCATCGGTTGCGTAACGCTGTGTGGAAGCTACCTGGTCTGTCGCTCCGCACTAAGCTTCAGGTCTTCTCGGCCACGGTCATTCCCTCCCTTCTCTACGCTTGCGAAACGTGGACCCCCC